GGACTGGGAGAGCAGCTGAGCAGCAGAGGCCATGACTGCAATACTGCTCTAAATAAAATTGCTTACATCCTCTCCTGTTCTGGACTTCACTCATTGAATTGCTGAGACAAGAATCCAGGACTACAGTGGCAGCAGTAGGTGTTGTCTGCTGCTATAACATTGTTGTCTGCTACAGGGCTGCAACCCCAGAGGTCACTGCCAACTGCAGAGCCAGAAAAATATAACACAATGGTCTCTGTCCACTTCAAGCCACAGCAACAGCAAAAGACAATTCTGAATTACTTGGACTTTCTTAGCCTCCAAACCCTCTTTTCTTCAACCCAGCCTCAGATATTTTATTACAGTACACATACAGATAAATACACCAGCAAGCTACATTTTAACAAGCCTGCTACCATCTGACACACATGAGGACTGAGAGCTACACAGGAACTTAAGGGGGAAGGATGGAGTTGTTGTCACAAGCTCTGTCCACTTCACTTTTTTCACTTCACCTCACAAACAAAGTACATCACCACCCTCAAGATTCGGAGAAGATAAATCCAACACGATGCATGAAAAGCCTTGAGCTTCTTACAGGAAGCAATAAACGTAGGCTAAAATATATCACCTGTGCAGTTTCATAACATATTCTATTAGGAGTGACGATAAGTCATATCACTAGGAGAAAATAGCACAGCCATACTTGAGATATGTGCAAATCTTATTTGATGAGAATTTTACTCTTAAAAAAAAACCTAAACCTGCAGCTTCCTTTCATACAGCTAAAGACTACTGTCTCCAACTCTTAACAAATTGCTATGACATATAATTTTCAATAGATGCTGAAGTATATTTATTTTGTCACTGAAGGCTCCATTCTTTTCAAAATTAAACTACTGAGATTCCCACTGATACAAGGACTCCCCAAGTTCTCCCCAGCTGGATCTCTCCCCTGAGCTGCAGAACTGGCAGGCACCTAACAACCCACACACATCCAGGCCAACTTGTCCAGAACCTATCAGCTTCACATTCTTCTAAAATTAAAGCACAATTCAGAAAAATGACTGGAGAACCAGGAGCAATGGCTCACACCTGTAATCTTAGCTACTGAGATCTGAGGATCCTGGTTCAAAATCAGGCCAGGCAGAGAAAGCTGAGAAACTCTTATCTTCAGTTAACCAGAAAAAAAAAAGAAAGAAAAACAGCCAGAAGTAGGTGAGACTCAAGTGGTAGAGTGCCAGCCTTGAGTTTAAAAAAAAAAAAAAAAAAGCTAAACTAGAGCACAAGGTCCTGAGTTCAAGCCCTAGTAATAGCACCAAAAAAAAAAAAAAGATATGACTGGGTATTTTAGTGCCACAGAACTGTACACCTACCAATTATTATACATGATAAATTTTAGTTCTTTGTCACACACACACACACACACACACACACACACACACACACCTGCATGTCAATACTGAGGCTTGAACTCAGGCCCTGGGCACTGTCCTTCAGCTTTATTCACTCAAGGCTAGTGTGCTCTACCACTTGAGACACAATTCTACTTCTGGCTTTTTAGTGTTTCACTGGAGATAAGAAACTCAGACTGCCTGGGCTGGCTTCAAACTATGATCCTCAGCCTCCAGAGTAGTTAGTTAGGTTAGGCATGTTTAACCATAGCAATTTTTTAAATCTGGTTTTCTCCTTAAAGGCCCATCAGGAAACAGTACTACTCTCTACCCAGCAGCTTCTGGAGGAGACCAGTGACTCAACCTTGCCCCACCCACCATGGGCTCAGCCCACTGAGCCCATCGATCATGAGTCTACAACTACTTCACTGAGCAGTTACCTCGTGGTTCCCCATAACCCCAGCACCCTCCGCCCCCACCCAACCCCAATCCCAGGTACACAGAAGTTATGGCATGTATGGCCCCAAGACAGCCCTCAAAATGACCCAAATCCCTGGAAGAGAGAGGGGGAAGGGTGACATTGTCCCAAGTCACCTGACTAATATAACTCCAACCCTTCTGTACATCACCTTTAGAAAAGCAATAAAAAGTGTGTGTATATACACATATTTTTTTTTAATGTTCAATTCTTCCCCACGGCCTACATGGTCCTACCTCCCCCTGGTCCCTACCTATTTCACCAGCCCCTCCATGCAACTTACCTTCCTCCTCTTGGCTTTGTCACCAGGTTCTGTCCCTCGCTAAGATGTTCCCTTTCTCCCTCCACATACTTGACTGCTGCCTCTCCTTTACATCTGAGCCACAATGCCACTTCTTCTAGGAAGCCTTAATGAAGTACTTACTTGAGGCTCCAGCGCCAGGCAGAACCCTGGTCACACCATCCAGGAACAAAATATCTACAGACACTGACTGACAGCTGTTTCCCGGGGTATATGACCATTCCATGGTGAACCATGTCCCAGGTGAGACAAAAGCCCAGCGACTTCCTGTGATGTTTTCTTAACACATCCTTAACTTCTTTCACTGAACTATAATTAAGCTAGGTGCTGGCAGCGCATACCTGCGATTGTAGCTACTGGGGAGACTGAGATCTGAGGATCACAATTCAAACCCAGTGGAAGCAGGCAAGCATCTGAGAGAATCTCATTTGCAATGAATTGCCAAAAAGTCAGAAGTAAAGGTGTGGCTCAAGTGGTAAAACACCAGTCTTGAGTGAAAAAGCTAAGCAACATCACCCAGAACCTGAGTTCAGGACCCAGTACTAGCGAGCGCGCACGTGCGCGCGTGCACACACACACACACACACACACACACACACACACACTGTAGATACTTTCTGGTGTCCCCTACTCCACAGGGATGGAGCCAGATGGCTCTTCTTCTTCCACTATCCTGATGCTTAACACATAATAATTACTCAATAATTACTTGTGAATCAATGAAAGAAACTTTGGGTAGTTTTCTTTCTTTCCCCTCCATGGTACTGGAGTAGATGGAACATGGCACTTGCTAGGAAGGTGCTCTTTTCCTTTCAATACTCTTTTTAACCAGAAATGTCTAGCAATTCAAACAAGTCTGTACACTGAATGGCTTAGTGAATAAAACTGAAACCATAGTTGTAAGGGGGAGATTCTCAATCAGTATTAGACTCTCAGGAACCTTATTAGGTACTATTAGGTACACTATTAGGTACCTTAATCACAGAAAAGATGATGGAGTTAGCTAAGGGGACTTAAGCAGATTGGTGTGTGTGTGTGTGTGTGTGTGTGTGTGTGTCTGTGTGTCTGTGTGTCTGTGTCTGTGTGTACTTAAGCAGATTGGTGTGTGTGTGTGTGTGTGTCTGTGTCTGTGTGTGTCTGTGTCTGTGTGTACTGGTACTTGAACTCTGGGCCTGAGAACTGTCCCTTAGATTTTTCACTCAAGATGAGCTTTCTTCCACTTGAGCTACAGCACCACTTCTGGTTTTCTGGTGGCTAATTGGAGATAAGAGTTTCACGGACTTTCCTGACTTTGCCAGCTTACCTTGATCCTCAGATCTCAGCCTCCTGAGTAGCTAGGATTACAGGCATGAGCCACTAGTGTCCTACCATGTCTATTATTTCTATAAATAACCACCTACTCTACCACTTGAACCACACTTTCATCTTTTTGGCTGCCTTCAATCTCCAGATCTTAGCCTCCTGAGTAATTAGGTACAAACATAAGCCACTGGCATCCAACCATGAATATTTTCTTAAGCAGAAATCTGCACAACACCAAAGATGGATTAAACAGAGAGCTACAAAAGAAGAAATAGCATTTGCAAATTCCCCATAAGGAGTACCTTTAAGTCTAGAAGTTATGCTTGTTTACATGCTTTATAAAATAGCTGTCAAGAAGAAGAAAAAATGGCCTCTAACACTCCAAATAAAGCCAGCAATGAGGACTTGCTCCAGGACTGAGCCTGTAGATTTGCCTCTGAAGAAGTTAACAAAACGTAGGAACAACTTCAGAGAAGTTAACAAAACGTAGGAACAACTCCCCAACTCCATTCCCCTCCTAGCATGACTATGGGCTCCAGGAAAGATTACTAAGATCAAGTTCATGACCAAGAGGGTTATGCCAACTTGGGGATCTTGCATAACAATCTATCTAGAAGATTAAAATCAGTACCAGTAATATCTGTGCATTCCTTAATAAAGAAATGGTTTTGTGTGTGTGTGTGTGTGTGTGTGTGTGTGTGTGTACTGGTATCAGGACTTGAACTCAGGGCATGGTTGCTATCCCTTAGTTTAGTTTTTTCACTCAAGGCTGACACTCTACCACTTGGGCCACAGATCCACTTCAGGGTTTTTTGGTGGTTAACTGGAGTTGAGTCCTACGGAATTTCCTGTTCAGGCTGGCTTTGAACCTTGATACTTAGATCTCAACCTCCTAAGTAGCTAAGTGGCACATGGGTAAATGGAAGGTTTTTAAAAATCAAAAACAAGTCGGGTGCTGGTGGTTCACACATGTAATCCTACCTACTCAGAAGGCTGAGATCTGAGGATCATGGTTCAAAGCCAGCTCAGGAGACTTTTATCTCCAATTAACAAGCAGAAAAACGGAAGTGGCACTGTGGCTCAAGAGGTAGAGCGCTCGCCTTGAACTGAAGAGCTCAGGGACAGTGCCCAGGCCCAGAGTTCAAGCCCCATGACTAACAAAACAAACCAAAAAAAATGAAAAACAACCTGGAATCAGGTCTGATTCTCACTGTCTTATAATTTTTGACTCACTGAAACGTGAGGAACTGAGCAAGATTTGGCTCAGAACAAAACTCATCCCTAATTTTGGCAGGTGTTTAGAAATACAATCTTGGCTCATACAGAGAGGAGACAGGGGTGTGAAAGATAAATGCTAAGACCTATCTTTTTACCACTGATTCAAATCAGCTTCTTCATAGAGGTATCAATTAGGATTAAGGTAGGCTTCATATAATCCCATGGGATACAGGGCTGGAAATGGATGATAGACAGGGTGACCATGATGCTCCATATGCACCTAGCTTCTTCTATCTTCCCACTCTATTAGTATTAATATTGTTCTTACTATTGTTGGCTTCCATCCTCAAGGTCATCTCATGGCCAGAGTAGAGCCTTCACTATGCCAGCCATCCCACTCACATACTAGGTAATGAGATAGAGGATGAAATAAGACAAAAAGGCCAGCAATTCCAGCTGCATCTGCAACTCTTAATGAGTCTTCCCAGGAGCCCTACCCAGTATCTCTTCAGATCTCTCACTGCCAGGACAACTGAGAAATGCTTCATATTGCCACAACACCACCCACCGTTCCTCACCCAACACTTTAACCCCAACATAACCCCAATGAATTAGAAAAAGAAGAGACAAAGGTCTGTGGGGAAGCAGTCAGGAGTCTCTGCTACAATAGAATTCTTACGTTGAAACTGTAGGGTACAGAGAAAAGTTCCAGAATTCTGTCTAGTCTGTCGCCAGTTTTATAGGAGAAGACTGAGGCTCAAAACCACTCAACGCCACTAATACAGTTAATAAATGGAGACCAAAAAGCCTTCTATCTGATTCTGGAACTGGTGCCAGACTTTAGAATTGCAGTTGCAGTAAATTCTGTCTGTAGATGAACAAGAGTTTAAAAATAAACTTTCTTTTTTCTTTTCCCTTGTGCCAATACTGGGGTGGGAACTCAGGGCCTTGTGCTCTTGATTAGCTTTTTCTCCTCAAGGCTGGAGCTCTGCCACTTGAGCCACACCTCCACTTCCTGCTTTTGGGTGGTTAAGTAGAGGTAAGAGTCTCTGAGAGTTCCCTAACAGGGCAAGCTTCAAACCTCAGTCTTCAGAATCTCAACCTCCTGGGTAGGTAGGATTACAGTTGTAAGCCACCAATGCCCAGCTAAACTTCCTATATTGGGTCTTCTCAATATAAATAAAATAGGCACTGGTGATGCATGCCTGTAATCCTAGCTACTTAGAAGGCTGAGATCTGAGGACTAATGTTTGAAGCCAGCCTGAGAAAGAAAAGTCCTTGAGTCTATGAGTCTCTTACTTCCAATTAGCTCTACCACTTGAACCAAAGCTCAAAGCGTCAAGGGAAAAAGCTAAGGGACAGGCCCTCAATATAAGCTTCGGTACTGACAAAAAGCAAATGAATTTTTTAAATTTTTAATTAAAAAAATAACTATGCTACAGTGTGGGGAAAACAGACCCATCTTATAAATGTGTAAGCTATTTATGAGATTGTATATGCATTGTAAGGATTCCTGTCATCTCTTCTCCCCCTGGACAGGACCACATCTTTATCCATCCAGGTGCTCCTTCTCTAGATTTACACCATGCCTAGAGAAAGAATATCCCCTCCTATCCATACCACCCATGAAAGCCAGTTCACAAAGCCCCAATGTCTCACAGGGACCTTTCAATGGGTTTTATGTCTTATTTATTGTGCTTCTCTGACAACTTGGCAAGGCTAAGACATCTCTAAAAATGTGTTGACATTACAGTTCAGTCTTAATGTCCTTCAGTGAATTATCAAATGTGGACAGTGCAAATAGTCCCTTAAGGGCAATAAAAAAATACACAGAGATACAAATGCCTATATGCTGCACGTATTAAACCTAAATATAAATATTCCCAGTGCAGCATTATTAAGTTCAATGCTATAAATACACTGCCAATTTCTGCTACCACCCACCCATTTGGTAAGTTGCAAACAAAAAAAAGTCCAGGCAATGTGCCAACAGATGAAGCCAACAATCATCTCACCTAGACAATTCCCCAAACCTCCAACCTCCCATTGCTCTGAGAGCTTCTACCCAGCAAAGCTTTCTTCCACCAAAGATCTCCAGCCAAATTCGAGAGCTCTACAAGATCAATTACAGTTTCTGGATCCAAGGTGCTCTTAACATTTTTAATTATATTGTTGCCAAATTAATCATGTATGTGAACAATTAATTACCCACTAATCTCCCTCGATTTTCCCACACTTACCAAACACTACAGAAATACCAGAGGGACACAAAGCAAAACAGATGTCAATTTGGAAAGCTTCAATCAAAATAAAAATGCTGGTGTGGGTGCTGGTGGCTCACACCTGTAATCCTAGCTATTCAGGACCTAAGATCATGGTTCAAAACCAACCCAGACAGAAAAGTCTGTGAGACTCTCGTGTCCAATTAACCATTAAAAAAAAAAGCCAATAGTGGATCTCACGCTCAAGTGGTAGAGCACTATCCTCTGATCAAAGCAAAGGGATAAGCCCAGGTCCCTGAGTTCAAAGCTCCAGTGACCAGCACTAAAAATTGCTACACATTGTTTTGTAAAATAAAAACAGGCTGTCAAGTCTCCAGTAGGCTAACAAAAGCAGTGTAGCAATAAAGCCACATCTTTTTCCAGCCCGTACTTCTGCCATTCCTACGCATCTCCACGTACTGCCGTTCACAGGCAAGTCTAAGTGAGAGGATAGCAGCATTCTGCAAAAGGAGTAATATATACATATATATATAATTTTTTGCCCAGGCTTTCAAACTTGCATCTCACCATAAAAGTCCATTGGAATTACTTTTTTAAAAGGAAACGAAATGAACTCGCATCACATCTTTCTTCATGACAAGTAAACGCCCTTGTAGGGGGCGGAAAACGAGGGGAAAGAAGGCATCGCGGCTGCTGGAGACCCGGCCAGCGCGGTTGGCACACACTTCTCCGGTTTTCCCTGCAAAGATCCTGGGAAGCTTCCCGCGTCGTCCCCGCGCCACGAAGCGCGCTCGCCCCGAGGCGGACCCCCAGGATCCCACTCTCCCGCTCCGGGTCGCAATCGCCCAGAGGCTTGGACGGGTTCGCGGGTCACCAACGAGCGCCCGGGCGAGTCCCGAGGCGGAGCGCCCGGACGTGGGGGGGGGAGGGACGCGGACACCGGGTGCGCACCGGC